GTCAGAGAAAAGTTCGACGTGGGCCCGCCCCTCGCTCGCGTCACAGCTCAGTGACCCTCGGAGTCGGTGTAGGCCACCATCAGAGGCGTTAAGGTCGGGGCCCTGATCATTGACATGAAACCATTCCCTGTTTTTTATTAATAAAATTAATTCCTTTTTGTTGGAAAAAAAATTTAAGTTATCCTTTGCTGCAATTGTGACAGGTTCAAGAATTTTCAGACAATAAAGACATGCAGGCACCGTCATCGCAACAAGCCTCTCTTCAGAGCCAACAATTATGTATGAACATTTATAATTTTCGATAAACTTTGGAGAAAGAAAAATAACCAGTGCTCTCTTTGGAAATATATTAATCAACGACAAGACTTGTGTCCCGCAGTTGAAACTTCTCTGCTCATCTATAGTGTAACAAATATTCGGTTGTAAATGGTGTGAAAATTTATAACGAAATGTTGTAACTAAAATGGGAATTTAGCGTGTATGCATACATCAGGCAAAATTTCCGTTCTCGGCAAGTGGTAGTGTGCCCCACATGGTAATGGTGTGGCACTGAGTCGCGGATGGTCTCACAAATTTTCGAAGTATGAAACAATTTGTCCAGACTTATGAATAGCTTTTTAATGAACAATAAAAGATGCAGGTACGATTCTGCTATAGATGCCATTTAGGAATCAGGGAGAGCGCAAACTGACCTCTCTACTTGTCCGCTTCGGCTTTTTGCTTGAAGTGCAGCCTCTTCGCAGCTCGGTATATGTCTCAGCTCGGCTATAGTTCTCGCAGGCCAATATAAAGTTGGAATGGAGATTCTGTTCAGTAGCTAATTTCGATCGGGTAGCCATGAAGACCCACAATAACTTTGTGCTGAGTGAAGCGACTCCTGGGCAGAAGCCTATAGGCGTTGCCAGAGGTTTACTTGAAAGTTATCGTATAACGGTATATAAGAATATAAGCTAGTAGAATTTTATGGTATAAATCTGTATGATTTGACAATTTAAATAAGCCAAATCTACTAGTAAGCAAAAAATACCTTTCATTTCACAGTAATTCTTTTCTATGTTGACATGATTGAGTTACTTCATAGCGTTAATGCAGAGAAGAAAATGAAAGTAAAGGATAGGAGTAATAATTCTGAATTATATAGGATGTGAAACCCGAAATTTTCCTTACAATTGGAGCCAATGAACTGCATTGTTCAACCATAAATTATGTCTATCTCTTCAGATTTTATCTTACTAACTTGCACTTGTGCTGCTGCAGATGAGCTCAGCTAGAAATGAATGAATATTCTATTCTCATTTCTCAGCTAGAATAGAAATCATTTCGATGCGAAACCAGATTTTTATTAATGCACTTTATAGAATGCGCTCCATCGACACGTCAATTTAGAGCAGGCGTTGGACAACATTATAAAGTTCTATGGGATATACCTCAGACTGAATGTGATAGAGTATCACGAATGTTTTGTGAAAATAAAGTAAAGAATAAGAGTAATCATTCTGAATTATATTAGATGTGAAACCCGAAATTTTCCTTCCAATTTGAGCCAATGGACTGCAATGTTCAACCGCAAATTAACTTCATCTTTCTAGATTTGATCTCACTAACTTGCACTTGTGCTGCTGCAGATGAACTCAGCTAGAAATGTCCGGCAGTCTTTTCGATGCAGCCCTATAGGCAGCAGAGGCAGTGTTGTGCGAGACAGTACTTAACGTTAAGACCTGGTTGTTTCCTAGTAACATTTCTTGTTTTCTAGTAACCTTATGAGGACAAGTTCACATGATAGATTGTCAAATTCCACTTGAGTCGGTTAGAGAGCTCTCAAGTGTTAGGTTTGAAGAATAATTTTTTTAGAGCTTCTGAAAAATATTGGCTAAATCTTCTTCAATTTGCCAATATTTTGCTTATTTTTTCAATTCTGTCATATTGCTTCATTTCTGAGTTCGATACACCAATTAATTTCGAGGGCAAAATTAATTCAGGTGCTAAAATAAATTCGCAATCAATCAGAAAACAGAATGGGCCATACTTTCCAAATAGTTGATGAGAACAAAATAATATGAGAACAAAATGCAAAACTATCTGTCAGAAGTTATGAGCGACGGTATTTGTTTCTATAACTCAGATTTATATTTCGTTCTAGTATTCTACATCAACATCGACGAATAAACTTCATAGCCTTCAAGTGTCAGTGTATCTCGCATTCATTATAGGCTATAATTCAGAAGTCTTATTGTTACTTGAATCTTATCGGAATTATAAACATCAATCTATTCACGTCATTCACGAAGTGTGGATTGATTTATCTCCGCACAAAATACGAGAGGTGTTTAATATTATCTCTCGTATTGCTGAATGACACTCTTTGGATATTATGTATTGAAACTTCAATCAAATTCATCTGCCACGAGTGCACGAGTGTTGTAGAGAATTATGGTGTAATTTTACTATCTTAAGACTGAGCATCAAGGCTGTCAGTCGCGTTAATCGCCTATATATGGCGCTTCTTAACTGCGCTTTCGACAAATAACTCCCCTCCTAAATAACATAAGTCGGAAATTCGGAATGTAACTCTGGCTAATTTTTTTCAATTAACGGAAATTAAAATATATTATGTAAACGTTGTATTAACACTGTTATCATGAACGAAAATACGTGAAAATTCATTTTTTGCATGACTTTCGAGCTTCTAAATGAAATCTGTGCGAGCCAGTGGCTGAGTATGGAGCTTTGATGCCTCAAAACTTTCAAATATTCTTAGTCGAAATTCTTTCACTTAGAATCTCACGGATATTGACTCCAAAATTTGGGTGAAATTCAGACCTTGCTGGTTTTAAATTGAAGCAAACATTTAAAAGTCTGACTCAAATTTGGAGTTGCTTTTACTTAGAATTCCAAATGCTATCGTCATGTAAAAATCTTTCTCAAGAACCTCTACCTGAATTTCTATCGAGGATATTTGCAAAAATATTTTTCGGTCATTCATCTTCCTTGACTATCAAATTTATCACATTCAGACCAGAAACCCACATTGAATTTTTCGTCGCGAGTCTCTTTATATTGTCTAACGTAATTAACCAGTACCTCTCATTGCTGATTGTGTCGAATAATTAAAAATTGTTAATTTATATTTTGATCAATCTTAAAGTATAATTATTTCTTTTTATTAATATACTAGACTAAATAACAAAAATATAACTCAGTACTCACTGCAGTGAGTGACAGAGACGAAAACGTCTCGTCGACGAAAACGTGAAGTCACGGACGGACAGATAGACAGACAGACAGACGGACATGACTAGCACAATAGCGCCTTTTTTCCATAAATGAAAAACTGCGCTAAAAAGATGAAATAATAAGATCTGTTATTCAAGCATGTGCTTAAGGTCAAGGGTACTGGCCCAAAGACTTTTTTATTCATGGTACCTAATACTTTTTTGCTGGTATTATTATATTATTTATTTTTGATCATAATCAAATTTATAATGACTAAGTTATTTGTTTAAACTTACAATCGGGGTTCCTTTTAATAATATTATTAATAAAAATAATAAAAATAATAATATGATAACAATAAAACTAAAAAAAACTAAACAATAATATTGATGTAATACAAAATTATTTAGATAGCTTAAGAATATTTAGCGGGAGGGCTGAAGTCCGCCTACAATATTTCTAGTATAACCTCAGTTCGGTGCGCTTAACTTGCATGTCAAAAGGAAATGAAAAAATCAATTATATGAAAGAGAGGAAAGCTTCGCTCTGAACACCTTAAATAACACACCTGCGACATAAGCTAAGATCTCTCATGAGATCATCTAGAATCTAGATATTTAATTCGGAGCGGATTTAATAACGACAAAGCGAGCTTTTAATACAGCGAGCTTTAATTCCGTAAAGCGAGCTCTTAATACAGAGTAATATTCAGTTGCACAGAGACGGTGTTACAGAAGAGCCGCAGCACAAACCTAGCTTAGCTAGCTACTCCTTTATAGATAAAAAGAGCTCATCATATATTTCTTTATGTCATTTGACGAGGTTACTGGCTAGAGAAGATATGAAAATAAACTCCTACAAGTGTTAAGTCAGAAGAATCACTATAATCAAATAAAAAATGAAACCTCAAAGATTATTGACATTCCATTTTTTTAATTTTTGAGGAAATTTTATGTAAGGAATCGGATGAAATAAATAGGCGATATGCAAGGAAAGGAAAATTTTAAGAGTGCTTGAAAATCACAAGAACAGTCAACTAAAGGTCTATGTTGCCGCAAATAAAATGAAAAGAAAACGCAAGCCTTGGAACAAGTAGAACCAACTCCTTCATCGTCGGGTACCTGCGGTATAGACGGGAGTCTCGCTTGGACTACCCGAAAATTCTTGACAATATTTTCGTTGAAACAATGGTTTTATCTCTAATGAGGATATAATTATCATGAGCAGTACTACCGCATTGTTAATGTTAAATGGGAATTCCTGACGTCACTTATTTTCTGTTCCAGTTTTGGCAAGTGTAACCTTGCACTATTCCCTTGCATTGATAAATGAAATTGAATTTCCATCAAAAATAATTTTCTATGACTTTAATCCTTACTACATCCATAGCTCTTCCTCAAGATTGATTTTGAAGTAGTTCCACGAAATCTCATTCGTTTTGAATTGAAATAAAGATCTACACTTAATCACACTTAATCAAGTTTTAACAAAATGTTTCACCACCGTGGTTCGGTAAGTATTAAAATATGTACCCATTTGTCATGTATGATTTCTGTTCGGAAAATATAAGTAGGAATAAATCGCTTATAAAAAATAATGCGTACTTCTATATCTTTAAACATTTTCACGCACTAAGTTGTTCTTATATATATGTAACGAAATGTTGTGTTGTTCTACCCTTTCCAGGTAAAAAGAATTTCGATTTCTAATTTGCGTTACGTCCTGGCAATTGGTGGAACGATCTTTGTATTCCTTCAACTTTACTTGGATCTCATCAAGAGAAAGCCTGCAGGATATTCTGCCTATCGTCGCATTATCCGAAAAGAAGCTATTTCTGAAGATAATGACGGCGATTTGTTGAACGTCAAAGGTGAATTATTAATCGGTACATGAAACTTCTTTCTAACGATAATTAAGAGGAACTCTTTAGATGAACTGTCTTATCCATGAAATACTTATTTAATTAGTCGAGACAGCTCGAAGCTCACCTGCTATAAACCTTAAGATATTCTAAATCACAGTGTCCAGAACATGAAGCAAATTTATAGATAAATTCAGAGACTGGAGTGGCATGTGTGAACATAATTATTAATTTCAGTGCAAAGAATCAACAAAAAGGTCACAATACGTCAGAAATATCGTAAAAGCTGAAGGGTGGTTAAATGATTTAAGATTGTTACGAATTTTTGAGACATTTATTTCAATTTTTGGGAAGCACCATGGGTACATTGATCAAAAATCAAATTTAACAGTGTTCTCTATGAATTTTCTTCTCAGCAACGACGGTAGTACATGAAAAATACTTTTGCAATTAATTTGTTCAATAATATGCTTAACAGAGACGACAAACACAATTGCATCTTATTCAAAGCCAATGATATTGACCAAAGAAGTAGTAGCAGCGATAATTTTGTGTGAAGGTAAGAAGAAGTCACGTATCTTCCAGTAGGATGTTTAAATCAAGCTATGCTGTTCACCATTTGAATCGGCACGTTTCCAAAATAATTACGTGATTTAATTGGATAATTTTTACTATTAGGGTCCTAATTTCTTATAGCGTAGTGTAGGTGATTACCAATTGTCATTTGAATCTTCATTTTAGTAAGATATTGCTTTAAGGTGAAACCGCTGACCATAGATTGCCTCCTGAAGTTTTTAGTATGAAAACGAAATTATGTTTGAATTATTTTAACATAATATTCTTTTTCAGTATTCATCGGTTCATATACTTTTCAATACAGTTAGTCCTGATAACTTGACGAGCGCCCTCACGGACATTTGCTTTACATAATCCTTGCAGATTGCTCTCCATATTTGACTTCACGCTATCCACACCATGCGTCAGAAAATATCAAAATTTGCTTGCAAATAAACTATAAACTCGATCGAAATATAAGCTAATATCAATTCATTCGTCATGTGTTTGAGCTCTTCACTATTTTGCATGAACCGGATCAGGAGTCAGCCTTTCAATTTTATTTAATATTTTTCCTACGTTTTTCAGACGTTTTAATTTTCCTACGGTTTTCAATCCTATAACGCAATGAAACCCATGCACCGTGCAATCATCCCCATAGTAACTTAACATAACCTAGTCTGAAATGGTTAAAGATACTGGGCAACTAGCCTTTGTGTAATCATATTTTACATCATGTGATGATATTCCCAATTTTGACACTAATACAATTAGTAAATTTTTATAAATTATCGGCATTACATGTTATTAATCCTCCAGTTTGCAAGGAATATCTGCACCGAACGATTTAGAGATGCAAAGAATATATATTTGTTTCGTTCTATCTCATGATTCGAGTGTTTGTTTCTACAGCCGATGAGACGAAACCTTACAAAGGTAGCATCTCATCATTCGAGCAACACATTGATCGCGCAAAGTCGTTGTTGAAATCAATAGTATTTCTTTCACAGCAGCACATCACGTGAGATGAATTCGTTTTTAGACATCGGTAACTTATTTCAGCTAAAAATTTTAATCAAATGACATTGAAACAATTAATATAAAGAAAACTATGTTTATTGTATGATTTTTAAATGAAATTAACAGCATTTCTTATTTCAATTAAATACTATATTTGAAACGATAATTACAGAGCATTACAAACATACTTAATGCTGTATGGGGGTATCATAAATTAAATTTGGAGGGCTTGAGTTTAAAGCATCACAATTCTTTCTGATGTAGTAATGTATGTTGAGATACCATGTACATAATGGTAATTTAATGACACTCATGACATTTGTTTATAAATTTTAAAATTATTTTCCAGACTCCATGTACTAGTGAATTCTAATGAAGTGATCAGAGGAATTACTTCCGTGGTGGAGTTTTGGCCTCCACAACAACGCAATAAAATCGCTCTAAAGGTTTGAAATATAGTCCGTACGTGGATACGAAGTGAATCACTCACTTTTCATATTTCCTTTGAATCAATTAAGAATTATCAATTAATAATGCACTAACAGCTGAGTCAACCGATGCCGATAATAGATAAAATCATGCGAAAAGAAAATATCCAACTTTTACAGAATCCCTATGGTCTTAATCCTATAGTCTTAAAATCTCTTTAATCAGACTCTCGTTGTTTCTCCAGAAAACTACAGTAATAATAATAAGAGTTACCCCATTCAAACTCATCGCTCATTTATAATTCCCATTCAACTTTAGCTTCGAAGTTCGAAGAAAATTTTCGTTTGTTCTTATCGTGGCGAAAAAAAACACGTGCGAAAAAAAAAACAATTTTCATTCCGTCTCTCCCTCCCTATTTTTCTTGAATCCTTACACTTTAGCTAACATTTCAAATCAGCTTAATATCCCAAGAGGATAGGTATTTACTCGGCTATTGACTCGATATTGACTCCCAAGAAGTTAGGTATTGACTCGATAGGTATTGAAAGGCTCGACTCGATTTAATGGATTCAAGTTTGGTGTTTACTCAAATCAAGAAATTCATGTCGAAGCGATACAGTGAGGTTGCTCCTGAGCGCGATAGTAGGAAAGTTATTTATTGTTCTTTTCCATACTTCGGCCCTGCGTCCGAAGCTATGTCAAGAGAATTAAAAGTCTTGTTCAATAGATACTTCC